TATTACAGACCTGCTTTGTCAAAATTTTGCATTATCATTATTAAGATACCGAGATAGATTAGAACTTATAAATACACAAGAGGCTTTACAAAATGCACAAGCATGGAATAATAATGAAAACAAATTCGATTCAGATGAAAATTCTTCAAATTTATATGATTTTGATTTAGACATGGCTACAATAGCAGAGTTAGCCGATGCTATAGATGGTTTTCTGAATAATACAATAACAGCTAGGGCAATTCTGGTAAATCAAATAAAGAGAGCAACAAGTCAGATTCGACGTAAATATACTAACCTGCAACAAGATCTGGTGAATGAACGATGGAACTGTGATATATATAGGCAGGAGCGTGATCAGGCAGTACAGGAGCGTGATCAGTTGCAGACTAATGCTCAGAATCAAGTAAACAGAATGATAAATAATATAGCAAGAAAGCAAACCCGTATCGGTGAATTGCTATGTGAAAATTTTGTTTTCCAGTTATTGTATCAGTGAAATATTCTTCACTTACAATTATGTAGAGCCGATAGAGGTTTGCTAGAATATAATCGAGATAGATTGTATAAACGATATGAGAAGTGGAAAAATAAGACTCATGCAGAGCACCAGAATAATTTAAATTTAAATCAACAAATTTTGGCACTTCATAATAATCCACCAAATCAAATAAATATGGCTGATGCTAGATGTTTACCGGTATTAAAATTAATGGCTCCCGCTCTTGCAAAATTTCAACCCTACATAGGTCAAGAACCATCTGATAAATACTTGGATAAGGTTATTCAGTCATGGGCATATCTTGAAGGGCATATGACAGTTCTTGAAAATGTGAATGCGGGTGATTTTGACAACGCAGTCAAATGTAATATTTTAAAATCTATGATGGGTGAAAAATATGCTTCAGTACCGGCAAATAATGGTCTTATAGCAGGAAATCCAGCTATAAATACTCCAGATACATTACGAGGTTGGTTAAGAGCAAAATACCAACAGGAAACAGTTGGAAATCAGCAATCGGCTATTCAAAGATTGACTCAAGAAAAATATCAGCCCTATGATATTCCTGATATCTATGAAGCTAGAATTCGACCACTATTATTAGGAGTGGCTGACAATGATATGCAAATTATAGGATTTCTTAAAAGTCACTTAACGGGTGATTTTTACACTTGGATGAGAATAGCCAATCCAGTAGGTATTAATGCATTTTTTACCGAGCTAAAAAATATGTGGCTAGAGCGCGTACCAATTTTAAGTAGGAGAATCCCAGAAGAATCAAGTCAAATTGCCAATCAAGTGCAAGCCTTACCTAATATAAATCCAGTATCCTATGCTTTATCACAAGTTGCCCAGTTTCTCAACTAGCTTTTACTAAAGATGATATGCAAAAGGCGATTCAAGACGCACTAGCTCAGCAAAAAACTGAATACCAGTCTTTATTAGAAAAGCAGAAAGCCAAATTCCAATCACAAATGGCCCAGCAAGCAGTTGCTCCGCAAGTTGCAATAGTAGGAACATTTCAACCCCCATCCAAGCTTTATCCTATAAAATCAGAAAAAGCTCAGCAAGCATTTTATATAGTTGATCAAGAAGATAATTATATAGATCCACTTACCCAAGATCCAAATTATCATAAATACCTTGAGCAAGCAAAAGCATTGTTTAAAAAACCTCAGCAACAAAACCAATCTGTGAAAATAGATAGAATAGAATCAAAAGTAGATGAAATCGGTTAAATAACATCTCAATTCAGGAAGATGGTGCTCGATAATCAATCCAAAAAATTTGTAGCTAAATCAAATTTTACACGTTACTATCCCCAGCTTCCATCTACACAATCCCAATATACGCCCCCAACTTCAGATAATGAGAAAGATAATAATGATGGTTATGATGAAGAACAAAATAGATGGTATGATGTAGCAGAAAAAAAAAACAGCTATTATTAAATGATAAGTTACCTCTAGAGTCCAGCCAGCCCAAAACATATGATGAATTATTTTCAAAGCTTTCGCCAGCAATGCGAAAAATGTGTCAGTCTCATACAGCTAAAGAGAAAGATTCAAAATCAGATGAATGGTTTTCATCATTACAATACCTGAATGCTAAAATAGATGATTTAACGATCTCTAATTCTTTTTTAGATAGCGCAAGTGAATTCGGGAGAGTGAATGATGCAACAATTAATGCCCTGGGGTAGAAAGCTGACAAGCTATTTGACTTTGCTATAAAGGGTAATTCCAAACATATAACCGAATCATTGGGATAGTATACAGATGTGCCAATTAGTGTAAAGGACAAGGATGGAAAGATTATTACAACTACTGGAAATTTTGCTCGTATTAATAATGGAGAACCCAAACCAATGTTATGTTTAGGTATGACATGGATTCGAAAAGTTCAAGGTGTTCTTGATCCAAATAAAAATCAATTCCGAATGAAGTTACATGGGAAGACTTACATTATCCCAACTTTTAGCAAAACTCCAGAAATAAATGATCCGCCAAAAGAGAAGCAGGACCAAGTATCCACCGATTCCTCTAGCCTGATTAGTGAAAACTTAAAAAAAAATGTGAAGATCTTGAAAAGCGTCTCTTGAAAACTGAGAAATGGTTTGACTTGGCATTAAGGACTGGAAAGTTTTTTGCTGATACATGTGAATCTTTATATAGGAGAAATATCAAAAGTACCAACTGAGCTTTTAAGCTTTTCACCACGATTAACTAAGTTTTCAAGAAGAGATTCCAACCTTTTTTCTTGAGATACATCCGGCAAATTATTAGAGAGCACATCATCTTTGTTCTCATTTTTTTCTTGTCTTATTTCTAATTCAAGAGAGACCTTCTTTTTTTGACCATTCTTTTTGGGAATCTTCATAGTCGGAGTAGATATAGATGGTACTGGTAGTACTGCTTCAAAATTCTGTTTTGACTTATCAGTCTTAAAATTTTCATCCAAAACAGGCTGAGATAGAATGGCCCCTTGCTGGAGGCGTTCTTTATTATCCCATATTTCATAAACACGTTTAGGTCCGATATAGAATTTATCAGCCATTTTTTTTGATGCATTGGGTATTTTACCTCTGGATTCTCTAATTTTTTTGATAGCATCATCCGATAATAGAGTTGCCTTAGCATCATAATATGTATCATGGATACGGGCTACTATCTTTACTAGATTATTATACTAGAAAAAAAAATATTAATGTTTTTCAATAAAATATCAATGCATATCAATGCGTATGTATCAATACTCTTTAATAAGCATTAATATTTTTTCAGTGTGTATTGATACTTTTCAATATATATTGATATATTTCAATACCCACCAATGCATATTAATAAGCTTCAATGCTCACCAATATGTATCAATATAGTAATATCTATAAAAAATATCTTGCTTCCAATGCCAAAAATTCTAGCGGTATCTATCTAATTTTTTTTCGTCTAAAAAAAAAAAATACTAATAAAATGTACCAGATCTGTACTTTAAAAGATCTGGATAATGGTAAAACTTGGAGATGCTCCAGCTAATTATTATCCTCCCAGCCAAACAGAACTTGAAGAGCAACTTTCTTGTACAAAAAAAGATCGTAAAGTTGCTATTTATTGGAGAAATCAGTTTGCCAATAATTACGATGTCTTAGATAGAGAAAAAAAACATATACAGGATTCTCTAAATCAATCAAAAAAAGAAAATAAGCACATACAGGATGACCTTGATAAATCCAAAAAAGAAAATAAGCGCATACAGGACGATCTTGATAAATTCAAAAAAGATAATGAGAAGCTCTCTGATCGTGTTCACCAGCTTGGAGAAGAAACAATGCGGTTACAATCAGAAATAGATAACTCTAAGCTTGGGGATGAAATAAAACATTTACATTCAGAGATAAATGACCTTAAGCTTCAGATCACTTGCAAGGATATTTCTTTTGCAGATGCTGAAAGCAAATTTTCTATAAAATCGGAGGAGATGCAAGCTCTCTACTCCAAGATGGAGGAAGAGATACAGGCTCTCCAATCAAGAGTAAAAGAATTAGAGCAAGATCTTTCTTTAGCACAGAATGAGTTATCAGAAATAGAATCTCTTGAGCGTGTATTCGAACAAGAAAAGATATTACTATCCGCTGAAAACACTACCCTAAATTATAAAAAAATGGAGTTAGAAGAAACTCTGTCTAAAGAAAGAAATAAATTAATACGGATAAAGGATAATTTAGCTTCAGCACAAAAGGCATTATTAGAAAAAGATTCCCTTCTTCAAGAAGCTAATGCTCATTTAGCAGAGCAGATTTCGAAAGTATCCGGCGAGTCGAAGTATAATGAAGTGATTGGAGGTGTTAGCAGACTAGAGAAAGGTAATGGCATCACTAGTCCTGAAACAACCTCACTATCACCCAGTTCCTTCTTTCAGCAGAATGAGGTCTTCATTATAATAATGATATTACTAATCATATACTTCCTATAGCGCATATCCTCTTATATATATTCTTTTATTTCACTCCTCAATAAAGAAAAAAATATTCCAAATTATAAAATACCCTTAGATAGAAATCAGAGTTATGGATTCCCGACCCATCATACAAAAGAACCAAAAAAAAGAACTACCACCTATGAAACTCTACCTTATAGATATGGACAAGGCCACAAAGCACGAATCATCCTGAAATGTTGGACATCCAGCAATGACATGGCCTTTCAGCATGATAGTCAGCGGAAGAAGTGGTACAGGTAAGACCAATTTACTAGCAAACCTTGTTCTTGGAGATAAATGTAAACATATATATAAAAGACAAAAAGGAGGATCCAGATATATTAGATGCAATAATTTAATAGTTTGCGGTTACTATCCTGATGAGCCAAAATGGGCATTTGTTAGATATATGTATGGAATAATAGCAAGTAATCCCAAAGCACCTTATTACGAGAACATTAGATTCAGCTACATATCACCAGAACAAATTCCTAGTGTGAAATCATTTTCACTTGAGAGGAGCACCGTAATTATTTTTGAGGATGTATGTGTTGCTCCCGAGTCTATCCAAAATCGAATTATATCATTTTTTACACATGGGCGACATCAAAATATTTCTCCATGCTATGTTACTCAAAAATATCATCATGTACCAATTATTATTCGTGAAAACATCTCCCTTATAGTGACCTTTAACGGAGGCAGTAGCCATCAAGATGTGTCCAAGATAGCTGGCTGATATACTGATGATGTAAAGGGCGCATCTATGGTTATTAATAGCTACCTCCGTAAAGGTGAGTTTGTTGTATTTGATCTCAGCAGGTCGGAGGATGATCCTCTTGCAATTCGACTAAGGTTTGATACTCCATTAAACCTGCAGAAAGAGATAGAGGCGAGGCAGAAGCACAAGGAAAAAAGTGCACCAGCTAATGAATAGAATTAGTCAAATTGTGGATCTCCTATTTTCTCATAGAAAAAAAAATAATCAGAAAAATTTTTAGATAAAATTTCACAAAACTCTTCACTTCGAAAAAATTTGTTTTTGAGGAAGGATGATTTGTTTGTTCACAAACTTCCAAAGCACTTTTCTACCTGGTGTCGGAAGTAGATAGTTAATGAAGTTAACAATATAAAAAATATATCATGAAGAATAGCATTAGGGAAATGGTGGACAACTATAAAAAATAAATTATTATAATAAAGATCCATGATCCGGAAAATTCAGCGCACATACTCACAATTATTGTTTGAATCTGAGAAATCTATGTTAATTTCTTCTCCTAGGATATAAAGATATTTAGTTTCGAAATAGTTGATTTTTAGTGAATCATATGGATATGATTTGCCATGCATTTTACACATATATCGCGCATACTCTAAACTTCTAATAATTCTTTCATTACCAGATTCATTAATATGGTAATATTTAGGATTCGATAGCCACTTTAACATATAAGTCCATCCTAAAAATTCAATGATTCTATAGCCTTGCCGATGTAATATTATAAAAGCAAGTATATATGCTACAAAATTTAATCGTTCACATAACTGATCTCTCTTTTTTTCTGCCCATACGTATGGATTATAATGATCATATAGACTATTCTGATGATATACAGGTACATCTTTAGCTAGAATTTTTTGATCAATATACTATACATATCGATCATCAGGAATTCTTATATCGCGAGAAGTTATATCTAAAAACTTCTTCTCATTGGGAGTACCATCATTCCTTACCATATTCCAAACCTGTTTCGCCCATGTTTCGGGTCTCAACTTGAAAGCTCTCCAAGCCCGTTGGATAATTTTTGCATTATTAATTAAATGTTTTAC